TCACAAACTGTAAGTCCTAGGTATGCAGAACCTTTAATAAAGTTCACCTATTTTTTTACGGTGCTTTCAAAAATGCAGTAAAATACAGGGTGTTCCATTTAAAAAAACATAACTTTGATATAGTACGCTTTTCCTGGACACCCTGTATATTTCAAAATATTTTTAAAATGTAGCCGTAATCAACCTACACATACCCAGCTAAACAGGTTTCTCCAACATTTGCCGTTTGGTCCCTAGCGACCGAGGCGTTACTGGTTGCCCACCCTGCTTGAAAATAAAAATTTTTTTAAGTTTCTTAAAGATGAATTATTTATTTTCAAAAAATAGAGAAAACAAGGTATGAAATGTATTATCGTATCAAATGTAGTATTGTAAAGTTAAGGATGAATTATTTATTTTCAAAAAATAGAGAAAAAAAGGTATCAAATGTATTATTTAAATAAAAATAGGTTAAATCTTTCATTCTGGTAAAAAAAATTATGCAAATGATAATTCATATCAAATATTATGAAGGTTTGTGACATTATTTTGATGGTTTCTGCTACAATGCAAAAACAATCCTTTTAAACCGAAAAGTATCAAACATTTTTCTGCTACAAAACAAAAACCAACCTTTCAAACCGAAAAAAATTATGTAAAGTACCAAACATTATCGCACATATTAAAAATATAAATGACCTTACCTTCTTAGGCTTGTCTGAAGAATTTTCACTAATAACAGCAGTGTTCTTTTTCTCGGAACTAACGACGGAAGTGGCACTTGTGGTAGATGCAGAAGTACTTATGGTAGAAATCGCGGTCACGACGGCACTAACTTCACTCGTCACTACACTAACCGGAGTAGGCGTCCTTGAATTAGCTTTGCGCTTCTTTGAAACCTTCCCTTCCTTCGGATCCTTACCCTGTTCCGTCTCGACGGGTTCACTTTTTGACTCCTTTTTCTCGGGTTTACCTTCTAAAATAGCGTCTGTAGCGACACTGTCCTCACTTTTGGCACTTTTAGAACTAGAGACCTTACTTTTGTCAGAGTTTTTGGTATGGTTGTGGACGGTTTTTTGTTGAGAGCTGCTCGATGACTTGGAGGAAGTTTTCGAGGAAGGAGCCGATTTGCTCCCTACCGACGACTTCTTCTTACTGGAACTGCCTGATGGGGGAGAAGTATTATTCTTAGACAGACCACTTTCCGCTTCCTTTTCCGAGTTGGAATCCGAATTGTGGGACTCGTTTGAAACGGGTTTGTATGGAGGTATTGTCTTTACGTTACCTCCTTTTTTCTGAAATTAGAGAGTTTGTTTAATCTTGACACTTTCTAAGTTAATGTCTTACCAATTTGCTATAATGGTGTTGGCAGTACCCACAATACTTGACGTTATCCAAGTAATTTCCCGCCTCCTCGCAAAGCAACCCTAAACCCTGAGCGCAGGTAACGTGGAACTGCTGCTTGCAGCCAGCTTTGTTACACTGCATGCACGCCCCTACGGTAGAGTTGGACGCTTTGCCTTTCTCTTCACAAATATAACACACCTATCAAAACACGAAATAAAACTACCAAATTTTAAAAAAAAATCACTAACTTGCAACTGTAAAAGAAAGCATCTCTTCTGTGCAGTTCGGATCGACCAAACGGATGATGCCCAACTGCACACAATTTTTTTTTAACATTACATTAAAATATGAATATTATAAGGGTATACCTTATTAAATCGCTCTGCAGGTATCAATTGCAGCTGAATAGGTTCCATAGTCGTAACATTTCCGAAACGTACCTCCGGGATATACAACGCACACACCACGTGGGCCCAACCAGAATTGTCCGTCCTCTTGAGAGCTCCATATTTGCTAGGGCACAATTCGCATTTCTGAAAAACAGGATTAACTCTTGACATCACCATTGCTACTGCCAGAGTGTCTGTTTAGATGATGTAAAGATCACTAATAACAAAAAAGGTGCAATAGCTTTTATGGGTACTAAAGCAATAAATATATAAAACTACAGAAATAAGAGTTTTATAAAAAAAACTTATCAGGTTTTCTGAAATTATACTTATTACATTGACTTCACATTTTTGTTTAACAGATTACTTTGCGAAAATTATATATTTAAGTGGGATTCTTACCACTTTTACGGACCTCTCCTGGCTTTCACATTTACGACAGTACCAAGGACCAGTAGGAACAGTTACAATACCATAACAAGCTGCAATAAAAATGTAAATACACTAACAAAAAATGTCACACAAGATATTACTTTGACAAGTACAAATTTTCTTATTTTCCACTTTGTTTCAAATAAATTAGACTTACAGAAAAGTTTTCAAAATGTTGGTATATAAGTATTGTCGAAATGCTTTCAATTTTGCATACAAAATTATGTTTTAGTTTTTTTTTCACATTATGAAACAATTTTTCTCCTTCCAAAATTGAAGCGAAGTTCATTATCTTTCAAATTTGCTCAATATATGTATAACAAAAGATTATTGTTTTTTAGACTGATAAGTCAATATTAGATAGAAAAAAATCTAGCCACATCCAGAACAGTTCTAATGATTCCAAAATATTATCTGTAGAAATATAATTAATATTTCATCCATACTTACAACAGTAGCCAACATATCTAAATGATTTCATTCGTATTAACAAATTTATTATGTCATTAGCAAATTTACGCCTTAAACTAAGACTTCCTTGCCACAAAAGATATTTTCAAATCAGCACATAAACTGACAAAACCACAAATAATCTGTCCTTGAAACCTGGCAAAGTCTTTTTATCATGTAAAGTATTTAATAATTTTTAGCTTTTTGATTGGAATAGTTCATAAAGTTTGAATCATATGGAATGTGCCACAAGATTTATTTATACCTCAGTGCAAAAGTTCAAAGGGACCCTTGGGGTTGTTTATATTTATAGCTGTCCCTCAAGGTTCACCCTCTTAGGACTGCTACCTGAACTACCTCAATTCTTGGTAAAGTGACTATTTTTTTTTAGCTTATTTTTTATTAATAGATAGTTTAGCTAAACTTTCTCATATTTACTAAGGATATATTTTTATTCTTAAAAATATACCTACTTTGTCAATGATTTACAATAAACTTAATTTTTTTATTATCTTAAGAAACTTTGTACAAAAGTGGTTTTCAATCATTTATAACACAGAACAAATTTAACATAATGAAAAGAATATCAAAGAATTTTCGAGTATACCGGGATATTTTTATTAGAATATATATAAATAAAAATTAAATTCTGTTCGTTGGTAACCGCATCACTTGAGAACAACTGGACCGATTTGGCAAATTTTTTTTTTTAAATGTTCATACTAGTCCAAATAAAGTTTTTAGGGAAAGAAAAATTGGAAAAGTTGCCCAGAAAATTGGAAAATTCGGGAAAAAATGAAATTGCTTTTTTCTACGGGATTTTTGTATGAACTCAAGACCATAACACAGAATTCAAATGATGGATATATGTAATTCTTTTTTGTTTTGTTCCTTACGGTCCAGAAAAAAAAATTGGGACAATTTGGACAGGACAATGTCTGTTGAGTCAGCTAGTATGCAATAAATTAGATGGGATAACAAAGTACAGTAGAATTTTACCTACACGGGCCGCCGCTAGAGTCAAGTCGTCTGCCAAGCAAAAGAACGTTACACATATTTTTTCGTTCTGCTTAAGAACTGAACATTTTTTACCATGTGATTTCTAATGTTTTAAACACAAATACTACAAAATAATTACAAACGGTGTCTTAAAAACTGTAATGTTAAAAACAGAAATCGTATTTGTGCCAATATTTATAAAAAGCAATGCAAATAAGTTCGCAAAATAATGCTGATAGTTATTTTAATTTCCATAAATTTCTGTAACAATAAACATATCATGATGTAAATAAGGTTCTGTTCATGGTTATTAAATTATGCATTTGCAACATTTCTTTTTCTGTATTAACTGTCTAAAGAAATTTCAACATATATACAGCAAAACTGGGACTAATAATAAACAATAGTTGTAAAATTGTTTATACAAAACAAAATATTTCAGTTTATTCATATCACAGCAAATTGTAAACTCAAAGAGGTTTGAGGAAAATTCGTTTAGTGTTCTTTTTATAACCTGGTTAGCAGGAGTCTTTAACCTCAATAATCACAAATTAAGTATTTCACAAGTTTTTGTTTAAATTAAACAGTTTTGTGAAATATACAGCCGCACATTATCATAAATCATTAAATAATATATATGCATCCTCTAAAAAGCGAAACCGATAAACTAAAGATATGTGAGACATAAAATAACCAGGCAAGAACAGAAATTATTAACTCAATTCAAACCTCTCACAAGTAGTTTTCTAGTTTGGCAAACTCGATCAAACCGGGTTAACTTCATTTCTCGCGAAAATGCCAAACCACTGTGAATTATAATTAACTGCCATTTAGGCATTTTCTCGGCAAAAATCTATTTGTTTTTCGTTTAAAGTAGGTAGCCAATGACAACACTCAAAGATAAAACCGAGGATCAAACTTTATAAATTTACGACTATGTGAACCTTGTTTATGTCATTAAAATGATAATAACAATATAGAATTTATACAAATTCTCGGTTCTGAGTGCCTATAGTTTTTTGAACCAATGTAAAAGAATAAGATGTGAATACCTTGATGAACAGCTACAGTACAAGATTGCCCATCGCAGTACACAAGTGGATTTTCGGACCAGCCTCTATCATCAGAACAAACACAACAGCCTCCTACCATCTCCCTCATAATGCAGAAAGCCGGATTTGCTAAACTAGCGATTTGACAATCCCACCCCACATCTCCAGTGCGATAGATTCACATTCATTGCTGCCCTTTGATTGTTAGTTTCCCACAGGAACCTAAAATTAAGGTTTACTTCAACACCAGCAAGGGGTAAAATTTTTGCGGGAGACTTCGGATTGACAAAAAAAAATTATTACATAAGAATCTTACAAAAAAATATCTCGATATAAATAAGTTAAACAGTAGCCGGTTAGTTTTGATAAACATTTATATTTAGCAGGAGTTTGTTAAGAGTAGTGCCTTTGTATTTATTTACGTTTAACGTGCTACCACAGCGTCATGGCTATTTTCGTGAGAATAGCAAATTTAGAGATGAAACACCATTTTGTTCAAAGATACACATTGCAAAATCACTTTATTTAATTATTTAACCGTTAATAAGAACACTGTACATACTTTTGCATAAAAATGCATAGTAAACACATTCAACTAGAGGGAAACCATTTTGTTTTTTGTAATTATTTTTGCCACTATCCGTTACTGCGCCTGCGCAACTCTATTTGGAGGTCTTCCAACAGTATTTTTAAAAAGTGTTTTATACTAAATAAAGAATTTAAAAACATTATGATTGAAATTTATTATTCCATTTAAATTACGAAAAACATATTTGAAGCAATCAGGTGAATATCAATTGTTTTTTCATTTCTTTGTCATCGTTTAAATTTAAAATTGCATTTTTCTTTATAAACGATATGATCATAGTTAAGGAGATCGTTGAAGTTAGGAGCGTTTGTTTGGACTGATCATTTCTGTAAAGTTGCAAAATGATCAGAGCACACTTACAATATGAAGTTAGATACTAATGTTTAATTAACTTAACACTATTAATGGCTACATTCATACAGAATCTATGAATTAGACCGTGTTCTTTACTTATTCATCATCGTCTTTTTGATTCGATAGTTGCCTCCAATATTATTGGCCTGTTTAAGCAATCCTAAATTCTGATTGGCTCTAGATCTAGATAATTCATCGGTGCGAGATGGATTTTCGATTATTGCAGATTTTGGCTTGGTTCCTTTTGAAATATAATGGATATTGACAAGATTGATATTAAAAAATAAATAAATCGAATAGAGAGCTAGTTATCCATAAGTAATAAAAAACTTGACAAGCAAAAACCGACAATTAAATTTTCAATTAAAGTGTAATCTTGGTTGCATAACTATGCCCAAAATAAATCATTGTTCGGACTTTCTAGGTTACTTCTTGACCCCTTATTATATTTTATTAGACACATCAAGGTTTCCAATTGTTATCAACAAATCCTTTATTAAATGATGTTGTTATTCCGGTTTGAACTAAATCTGTAATTACATTCTATTTAAAGTATTAAATTTAATATTTTGGGAGAGGGCGGCTTGCTTTTATTTAAATTTTACAAGCCAAAATATTAGCTAATTCAAGTCACAAGTTTGTATTGAACTGAATTGGGCAATCTCATCTCATTTTACTGCCAGTTACTATATGTTGTTCTAGATTGCCGGTCGTGTTGATACAAACTAGTGTCTATGTAAATATTTGAATTTTCTCTGCACTTTCACATTTGCAGTAAAAATTTAAATGCGAGAATACCCGTGTTAGGAACTCATAAAATATTAATTATATTAATCACACAGTTTTTAGTGAATACGTATAATATAAACTTAAAGCCGTTTAGATAAAAATAAATTTAAAATGGGTACGAGAGTTTGGGATTGTAGTGAAGACGGTGTGTTACTTTTTTATTACAGATTTTTTACAATTATATTTTTTTTTTTTTTTTTTAGGTAAAATCGAGTATGTTTCTTTAAATCCAGAATTTTTGCAAGGAGCGTTAAATGTTTTAAGAGGTGGATTTTTCCCACACGAAAGTGCCAGCGTTGCTGTAGATCTGGCTAAGCATCCGGATGCTATGACAGACCTAGAGGACCTTTCTATTGGAGCAGCAAAAGATGGAGTATCAGTTGTTGCTATTGAAAAATCAACGAAAAAAGTTGTTGGGGTCGCTTTTAATAAGTTACAGGTACCAAAGTTGTTACATATTTTTGTGTAATATATCTTTTTTTCCATTGTTCAAGGTAAAAAACGACCCTGGAGAAGAAAGCTTTTATGACAAACATGCCAAATCTTGCAAACATCCAGCGTCGAGGGGCCTTATTAAATTTATGATGGACGTAGACGCGACGGTCGACCTTTTCGAACAGTGTAACATAAACTGTTTGCTGGAAGTTATGTTTTTAGCCATACTTCCGGAATTTAGGAAAAGAGGAATCGGAAAAAAGCTGTGTGAAATATCTATGAGAGTGGCTAAATCATTGAACGACGGAGAAAATGTTAAACAAGCAGTAGAAATTGGAAAATCATTGCCGCTAGAACCAGTGCCACAGATCGTTTCTGCTTTGTTCACGTCGCCAACATCACAAAAAATCGGGAGGGCATTAAAGTGGGAAATCGTAGCTAGATCAAGTTACGAAGAGCATTTCCATGAAGGAAGGTCTTATGCCAGCGTACTGGGTAAAGATAATCCTTGTACGACTTTAGAATTTACAAGAATTTGATATTCTGTTTAAATTTTGCAAATAAAATTTTGCTATCATTGTATGTATAATTTTTCTCGCACAATCCTGAATCTGGTCTAGTATATGTACATTTATATTTTTCCACTATTCAAAGTAAAAAAGAATCCCAGAAAAGAATGTTTCTATGAAAACATTCTTCCTCAAGGAACTTTATTAAATCTATGATGGAAGTTGATGCGACCATTGACCTTTTCGAACAGTGTAACATCAACTAAAGTCATCGATTTTTTTCAAATGGCAACAACTTATGATTTAAGCCAATGGACACTGTAATTTTCTTTGTTGAACACAATAATTTTTTTGTTTTTTTTATTTAAAGGTATAGTCTTCCTGAAGTCAGTTGAACATGTATAAAAACACCTAGCAATAAAATTTCATAGGCATCCCTAAAAGTTTTCTGCTAAAGGTAAAAAAATAACAATAATTTGTATATAATGTCTAGAAAATGTCTATTCTAGGTTGTTAGTTTAGGTTTGAAAAGTTATTGAATAAAAATAATCGACAAAAGAATAATTCCGCATTGCTGCACTGCACTGCAAGGCAATGTGTCAACAACTGAAATTTATGGCCCAGTCGCCCAGAGCGGCTCTGTTTCTGCGCCGTTTGCCCGCATGCGCATTCCTCAATTGGGCGTATACATTTCTACCACTTCCACGTTTAGTTCAATCAGATCTGTATGTGGGTTTTGCTATATAAATATGGGAACAAGTTTTTCAAATATTTAAATGCCGAGTTGATGCGTAGCGGCCGAACCTGGTACATACTGCCTAGTTCTTTGGTCTTCAATTGAGATCGGAAAGACTATAATAAAATTTTGTTTTTTGCTCTTACAGTAAATTTTATTCCAAAATTTTGTTGTATGTACTTAAAAAAATCAAACTATTACGACTATTAAGAATTCAATGTAATGCCAAAATATTTTTATCTATTTCGGCAATTTCATAAAAAAAATAAATAAAAATTTTCATTTCCGAAAATGTTACTATGAATATATCTAGTTTTCAACATATGGGGTGTAAATTTTTTTGAAAATATCACACAAATAGAAATATTTCTAAATATGTTTGAAGCAAAATTATGGCCCAGTGACTGAGCTAAATAGAGGTAAAAATTCACTGAATTTTTCTACAATTACAGTAGAACCTCGATTATCCGCGCGGCGGATTCTTTGTGCGATGCGATGTATCCGCTCTGAATTATTCGCCACGGGGCGAAAAAAACGCTCAAAAATAAAAACAAAAACGAATCTCTGCTTAACTGTCGCGTATGTATTACTTACCTACGCAATTTACAGTAGCATTTGATTCGTGCACATGCAAAATTTCTTCATACATACGTATCAGCGTATATGCATGTGTATGTAATAGGTTATGTGACATAAGTTCTTATTTTTTGCAAAATAGGCGAGTTTGAGTGTTATTTCGATTAACCGTGTTTTCGATTATCCAGCAACGGTTCGGTAAAATAAAAATTGGATTTGAAGGTGTTGTGTGTGCATCGAAAATGGTGGTGGATATTTTGAGCATATATTGTAGTTTGTTTTGTACTTGTGCATTTAAAAATTACTGAATTTTGCTTTTTGGTAAGTACCTAAATTATTTTTAATAAGTATGATTATTTGGGTGACGTGAATCCTTGGGTACTTTAATTACATATTTTTCAAATTTATAATTTGATTACAAGTTAAGTTCCCGTTTTAAGAGATTCATAATTACTAAAATTCGAGCTAAAATTTAAGCACAACGCTATATTCGTACTACAAAATCGATACATTTTATTTTATTTAATTAAAAACTGGAAAACAATTGTCTTGAAATTTACTAAATGTTTCACAATACTAGTTGTTTACATTTTTTCCGTAGGACAAGTCTGCTGCGTGCACACGTGGGATATATCAGCTGTGCAGCGTTCAGATAAGCGCGTGATGAAACTCCCCAATATTAATATACAACTTTTTTGTTCATTTATGATTACTGTACTTCATGCTGAAGTAATGGTAGTCAAACTTCTTACACCCTGTATATGAAAATAAAATGTAGTGGCCGCTGGGCGCAGGGATGATCGGATCGGACTGATTTTGATGTCACTGTGTAGGTTGGACCATTCCGTTTCAATAAATTTGTTCTATAATTTAGCTGCTCTCCGTAGAATTTTTTTTATATCCCAACAAAATTCAAACAACCTCAACAATCTGTTATTCTAATATTTGTGAGGATAAACTGGCAATGAGATTTATTTACTGGTACTAGAAGTATAAAAACAAAAAAAATAAACTTTCTAAAAAAAAATAATACATAAATCATTTTATGCTTAACTGGTAACAAACATTATTAAAATGTTTCCGTAAAAGAAAGAGGTACAGTTTCGGTTAACGCCGAGGGATACCCCAGGTCACCTAGGTTGTCCTCAGAGCACCAGACGTACGGTCGAATGCTTAATATTTTATACTGTCCCACACACTTGCTCAACCATTCTATGTCGACCGTCACCGTTTTGTACTTTTCCACCCATCCTAAAATTGAAGATCGAATCGAATTATTAAAACACTAACATAATTAATAATGACTTACTTTCATATTGCTCGAAATCTTGAGTGGCATGGCCTTCCCCTATTATAATCCCGATATCGCCGTCATCCACCAGCAAACTTCTCATATCTTGAAGCACTCTTCCTCCTAACATTTTAGCTATATTCTGCAAGCAATATAAAAATAAACAACAGATTTTTCACAATTGTTTGCTTTACCTCGATTTCATCTTTGGTTGTCGAAAGGAACGGTTCCGCACAGAAAAACTTATAACCTTTGAACAAAGGATTCTGTTTCCGCGTCAATCTTGATGTTCTGGGACCAGGGAAACCAGAAATGTCCAGGACTTCAAAAGGTTCCTGTAAAATGGGTTCAGACTAGTGATGGTAGTGACAGTTAACTTACCAAAAATTAATAAATTGACCAACGTAGTGACCGGTCATGTTAGAATATGTCCATCGAATATTTAAAATCCAATTTATCTCCCATTTCAATAATTCCTTTTAAATCGTTGTTTATTGTTAGCAACAATAAGTTTTCTTTCTTAAATAAGGGACAGAAAGTGTATACAATGCAAATTTTGTAAAATTTAGTATCTGGGACATGCAACCATAACGGGAAAGTATAACGGTGTTCCACCGGGAACTGCGTCGATCGAGGAAAGTACTGCTTCCAAAAAAATTGAAAATATGGCAACATGGCAGAGTCCCTGAGGCGAACACAACTAAAATATCTAGAACTCTCCAGCACTTCCTGTTATACCGGAAGTCGACATCAACTTCCTTATTTTAAATGGGACACCCTATATATTAATGCATTTTCGGATTCTACATGAAATTTGAGGGTCACTTTATTAAATATTCCCTATACCTAGGAGTTATAGAATTTGATATATTAATATTTAAAGAAAAAATTTTACAGATGCAAGGGTCCGCGGAGAAGCTAGTAACTCTTTTCAGGAGCGTGCTATCAAGTGGATTTTTGGTACCTGTAAAGGGCATAGGTAACACTAAATTATGGTATAACAACAAATTAAAACATTCAATACTAGGTGTTTCATTTTTGCTGTCACATTTTGATAACTTCAAACAGCTATAACTTTGTTAACTTAAATGGAACACTCTGTATTTTTTTACTCTGTCGTATGCAGATTAAAATTTCCTTTCAAGCCATATAAGCATTATTAGGGTTGCCTTTACTGCTTTTACAGATGTTTGCAATTTTCTATTTTTTGGACAGTTTTTCTCATATCAGACCTTTTGTCAAATTGGCCATGACCAGAAACACTCCAAAAACAATTGAAATAACTTGACATTTGTCAAATTAGTTGTCAAATTATTGTTGTGTCTGAATAGTTTTTGCCAAAAATTTAAATGGGGATCGTTTAAATTATACTTCAATTGTTATTTCAAGTTTTTCTGGTCATGGCCAATTTGACAATAGGTCTGATACGAGAAAAACTATCCAAAAAGTAGAAAATTGCAAACATCTCTAAAAGTAGTAATGGCAACCCTAACAATGCTTATATGGCTTGAAAGGAAATTTCTGTCTGCATACGACAGAGTAAAAAAATACAGGGTGTTCCATTTAAGTTAACAGTGTTATAGCTGTTTGAAGTTATCAAAATGTAACAGCAAAATTGAAACACCTAGTTTGTTGATATACCATAATTCAAATTTTTCGGAGCAGTACTTTCCTTGACAACGATTGACGCAGTTCCCGAAGGGACAGCCTGTATATTATACAAAAGAAAATTGAAATTTAAAAATAACCGATTTAATGGCCAAAAGTGAGTTAGTGATTTTTAAATGACTTGGAATTTTGCTATCACTGTTTTAAATTATCATATTTTTTATGTCTGTACGGACAAAGCAGTGAACAATAGAAATTTTAAAGTGTTCTTAAAAAATTACAAATTTTCGTGTGATTTATCAACTATTTACTAATTGTAAACTATTTATTTTTAAAATGTACATATAAAATGAATAAAAATATTAATCTGATAGATTTGAAATCTATTGAAGTTTTTAATAAAATGTAGATACTTGTTATAGTTTTTTTAAAGCATAGTGTTTAATTTGTTACTCCTGGTGTCAATGATCTCTGATATTAACTTTAGCCTACATAATAAGTTTGTTTCTGCAGCAGACCTAATATCAATCCATCTTACGGCACTACGTAGACAAAAAAAAAGAACCAACGTTAGATCAGGGAAATGAGAATAGCCGAATATGTCACCAATTGATCTTATTGCATTTATTTTAATTGTCTCTTTCTCAGTTTACAAAATGTTTGTAGTACGGGAGAATATTTTGTGACTTTTTGTGTGAAGTTATTACTTTTTACTGAAGTCGAAATAGAATTTGTGTACTGCAAAATAAACCTTATGACCTTATAGTCATTTATTTGAGTGATTAACCCTTTCACTGCTCCAGACGTATATATTCGCTAAAAATTTATAGGGCTCAAACTGCTTCAGACTTATTAATTCGCATGAATAGTTAAATTGGATCAGGCTGCTCAAACCGTATATATTCGCAACTGTGCGCATAGTGACTCGGTTATTGCAATCGGTAAGGCGAATTTTTGCGGGCGAGCTTATACCGATTGTGAATATTTTTATGGAAAGAGGTACTGGTAATAGTACCAAGATTGTTCATGTTTCTTTCAGTTTCTATTTAGTACATATACTGTATTTTATTCAAAATCGTAAAATTTATCGTAAATTGTAATTTAACATAACATAATGTAAAACTATAAGTGGTCTAACTGCTCCAGATGTATATATTCGCACGCGATAAACTTTCGTGCACGGCGCGGTAGCTACATTCAGACGTATTGCGCAGTGAAAGGGTTAATGGTAGTACGGTGTGTTTGTGTGTCTTCATTGCTAAAATTCTGTGTAATATTGTGAAAAAACATGTAAAGGAATGAAGAAAGATAAGACTTATCAATAATGCACAATATAGCTCTCAATTGGGCATGCGCACGCAGCTAAAGCGCAGGTTTTTTGAAATGGAGTTATGAAAACAGTATTACGAGTTAGTTTTCATGATTTTTCAAATTGTTCCCAGTGTATAGATAGAAAATTCATTTGAATCATGTGTGCCAAAAATTTTCAGATGGGTTTTTATAAACCAAAATATACAGGGTGGCACAAAAGTATGGAAACCCCTGAATAACTCGTCAGGAGTGTATTTTCTTGAAAAATGATAAATTGACCTTCGAGGTCATTTCATGGTCAAAATTGTTTTTTCAAATGGAAACCCCTATTTTTTTATTGCGGATTTGGAAAGAGCAGGAAATTTTACGTCATAATATGGTCTTGACCACGACTCTGACAATGACCTTGCTCTTTTCAAATTCGCAATAAACAATAGGGGTTCCCATTTAAAAAACTTAACTTGACCTTCAAATGACCTTGAAGATCAAAGTCAAGGTCAAATACAAGGTCACCATTTAGATCGCCAGGGAAAAATCTTTACACTTTTGTTTACACTTTAAACTTTTGTATTTATCATTTTTCAAGAAAATGCATTCCTGACAAGTTATTCAGGGGTTTCCATACTTTTGTGCCACCTTGTATATCCAAAAATATTAACTTACTTCGGGAATAATGCAGCCCTTCTTCAAGCATTCCTCTACCCACTCAAACTTCAAAACCCAAATCCCCGACGCCACCGCTGACACAAACTTAATCGTGTAGTCCTTCACGCAGTTTTCCTCGTTAGCGATAACGATCATATGTGTAACGTCCTTATCGAACCGGGAATTAAACCTCGCCAACTTCTTATCCGTCAACTTAACAATTAAATTAATTTGAGCCTTTGTCAGCCGAGTACAAGCTATGCAGGGCTTAGTTTTTCCGATAGATGGGCCCGCCTCCTGAGACGGTTTGACGTAATTCCATATACTCTTCTGCCTAGGCGTGCTGGTGAATACATTTTGTTTTTGCGGTGTGTGTTTCGTTACGGCTGTTAGAGGAGTGTATTTCGAAGCTTGCGCCATTTCCGTCATGCCGATATTCTGCGATTTCTTTGCCGTTATGGGTGAGAAACCCAAAGATTCCCTCTCTAGATCCACTTTAACGATAGGGGTGCTGTGGAGTAGTCTTTGCATTGCATGTTCATTCCGTTGAGTCAGTCTGTCTGGAGTTAACGACAAGTCGTTTTCGTTTAACTCTTCATAAGAAATATTTCTTGTCTCCGATTTTTTATTTTCGACTTCAGTTTCTCTGATGATCTGTTTGATGCACGGTGATAGGACTTTAGGATTTCTGGGGTTGCGGAAAATGAATTGGGACAGATTATCGGGAGTTTGCGAGGATTTGTTTAAGTCAATTACGGTTGTGGCGTCGTTCGTCGGATTGTCGTCGTCATTCGTAGGATTATCATTGTCAACTATATCTTCAGGAGTAGACGGAATGTCAAGGTCATCTTGGAAGTCGGGTGGAGGCGGCAATGGCACAATGTCGAAGTCGAAGTTTGCAGTTTCTTTTGGGGGTGGTAGAGCGTTGTTGATTAGGTTTATTGAATCCATTATCTGCGAACGTAACGATCTAAAAAAAAAAGGCAAAGAAAGAAATTATGGAATGCAGAAAGGGCTTTTTTGGACGAATTTGGAAACACCATATCAAGTGTGCTAGCTAAAATAGCAAATATTTGTCTGAATCAAATCAAATTTTATAAACAACTTATTTTTTTTTAGCTTGGTTTGTAGGCTTTTATGGCAATTTTCAATGGTTAAATAATTTCTGGGTTGGGTTTAGACGTTTTGAGAGACATAACACTCGTTTTTTGTGTTTTGATTTATGTTACTATTTTGCCTGTTCATTGAAACATACAGTGACAGTCCGGCATGAAAAAAACATTGACGAAATCAGATTAGCTATTCGTGACAGGATTAACTTTCAAATTGGTACCCAATTTTAGTGGTATGCAACGATTACCTACCTGTCTGCAAAACTATCAACCTTTTTCTGTGGGGTAGTTTCAACAATGTCTTCATCAGAGAATAAATCATCTTCATCTCCTTTCGCAACTTCATTCCTATCTTGGCTCTTAATTTTTACATTCGCTAATACAATTATATTTTTCTCTTTTTTTAAATTTGTTTGTGCTTCCGACGTATCAGCAAGTTCATTCGCATCCGTCTCCAGGGCATTGCAAAGTTTGTTTGAAAGTTCTAGATCATGCTTCCTCAAAAATAAATCTTTATTTGATGGAGGATCGTTCTTTGCACTCGTCTTTTTTCGTTTCTTAGGCGACGGCGTAATCTCTTCCGTTTCGCCTATTATATCAGAAATTTCGGAATTCTGCGCCTTTACCTTCCTTTCGTATGTACGAATGTCATTTTCTAACTTCAACAAATTCTCTTCGTTCATGAAAACATCATCTGAACCTAAACCGTCACCGAAGTTGTTGCTGTCAGAAGCTGTCCTGAAGCTGTCTTTGGATGAAGCACAGGATAATTCTGATACACTTTTACCAGGATATATTTTTTTATTAGCGTTGTCGATCATTTCCTCACATTTCCTGTTCAATTCTTGCTTCGCCGTAAGAACTTTGGGTTTTTTAAAACTCCGAGGCGAGCTACTGGAAAAGTCATTATCTTCGTATTTCTTCATAACCTCAGCAAGATATTCCTAAAATAAGAACACATAATGCAGCAATACTGCTGTGTTAAATCCAAATTTTATATTTGCACATACTTCAAATGTATAATAAAGGCTATTACTTTCCTTAGATTACAGTTTACTCCATGATTTTGTTACATTAGTAAGTAGTACATGCTTTATTTGTGATAATATTTAGGATTTAATGCAAAAAGAGCAAATTCCCGAGCGGCTTTTGCCTGACCTTGGGACAATTTGTTTATAACGCTGTTTTGCATGTCCCTACTTTGTTAGTAGTTGTAAAGGGCAACTTAATTTCAAATTTCTGAAATTTTTCTTTTTCGATATATTTCTTTGGATCAATTAGAATCTATATTTACGATATTAACTTCTAAAATTAACGTTTAGTAATTAAACAATTAGTTGCAAAAAACACGAGTTAATTAATAAATATCTGGAGCAGCAATTTCAAGGTCACTCGAACCAGCCCTTGGCACACATGTTGGTGTTTGGATTGACCGTCTTTTCCATAAATTTCAAATCAAATCAACATCCATCGCTTTTTGCAATAATAATGCGTATTTTTTAACTGTTTTCGAATAACTGCTACTTGAAGTCGATTATAAATATTCCCATTTAACACTCCAATTAAAAATTTAAAATAGAATCACAACACTGACAAAGTAAAAAAGGGTTTTTTGGAGAATGTTTTCGAAATACAGAAATAAACATCTTGGGAACAAAGAGACATAGTTGATTTCTCTGTTTTTTAAAATTGTCATAAAAATAAGCTCAAAAAGCAAAAAGAGCAAATTCCCGAGCGGCATTTGCCTGACCTTGGGACAATTTGTTTATAACGCTGTTTTGCACGTCCCTACTTTGTTAGTAGTTGTAAAGGGCAACTTAATTTCAAATTTCTGAAGTTTTTCTTTTTCGATATATTTCTCTGGATCAATTATAATCTATATTTACGATATTAACTTCTAAAATTAACGTTTAGTAATTAAATAATTAGTTGCAAAAAACATGAGTTAATTAACAAATATCTGGAGCAACAATTTCACGGTCACTCGAACCAGCCTTTGGCACACATGTTGGTGTTTGGATTCACCGTCTTTTCCATAAATTTGAAACCAAATCAACATCCATTGCTTTTAGCAGTAATANGCAAAAAGAGCAAATTCCCGAGCGGCTTTTGCCTGACCTTGGGACAATTTGTTTATAACGCTGTTTTGCACGTCCCTACTTTGTTAGTAGTTGTAAAGGGCAACTTAATTTCAAATTTCTGAAATTTTTCTTTTTCGATATATTTCTCTGGATCAATTAGAATCTATATTTACGATATTAACTTCTAAAACTAATTAAACTAACTTCTAAAACTAACGTTTAGTAATTAAATAATTAGTTGCAAAAAACATGAGTTAATTAACAAATATCTGGAGCAACAATTTCACGGTCACTCGAACCAGCCTTTGGCACACATGTTGGTGTTTGGATTCACCGTCTTTTCCATAAATTTGAAACCAAATCAACATCCATTGCTTTTAGCAGTAATAATGTGTAATTTTCGAAAACTGATTTTTCCGCGTTCAACCTTTATTTTACAGTTAAAAAATAAGTGAAACATTACTCGAGGTACTTTAAATTGTAAGTGATTTAATTGCCTACAACACAAACTAACTAATTTTTCGTTACGTGGTCTAGATGTTCATGGGCACTAAAAAAAGTGAAAAAACACGCAATTTTGTCACTTATTTACAATTTGCCAACTTAGCGTCACTTCTTTTGAGTTACTTTTTTGATATTATCATTATACATACCCTTCCCCGTCATAAAGTACAATAAAATGTCTATTAATAATTTTTTCAAGTTTTCAGGTTTTATGATCTTATTCGACTTGAGTATATCTTGTAACCTTTATAAAGACGATTTTTGGGAAAATTTACTACTTTTACGAGTTCGACACCTTGTGAAATAGTGCCTCAACTTCGAGGACACCCTGTATAAAACGAATAAAAGAGTACTTACATCATAATTAATACTCTCGCTATCCTGGGATTCTACCACTAGTGTTTTATTGTTCTCTTTAAATTCGGAAATGTCAGGATTAGTCAGAAATTGGACAGACAAATCATCTCTAAGGAACCTGTTACACTTTCGTTTCGCTGGAACTTCTTCATCTTCCTCTGAGTCACTATCAGAAGCGGGACGTTTGATTCTCTTAAATTTACTGCTCTTATCATCTTCGTAAGTTAACTTCCGATTTATTTTCTTGGATGCTGTCGATTTATTAGAGTTTAGACTGCATATCAAAACGGAACTTGGAATGTTCTCTTCTACTTTATAGCCTATATCAGCTCGTGACGTTTGCGGGGCATCAGACTTACGAGAATCAATTTTTGAAGGTATCTTTGTTATAGTGTCTTGATTCTTTTCGATTTCTTGAGTGTCAAAGCTCAAGTTGTCTAGGGTGCAGGTAAATTCTTCGTGTTGTGAACGTTGCTTCACGGCAGAGGTGTAATTTTTATTTGAAACAGTACTTTGCGGAATCGGTTTGAAATCTATATCTGTTTCATTCACCGTATGCTGTGACCTTCGCTTTAAAGGAGTGTTATTTTTATTGGAACCAGTACTATGTACAGGCGAGTTGAAATCTAAATTCATTTCACGTTGCGAGCCCTGCTTCAAAAGAGCAGTTTTATTTGAAATGCCACTACGCAGAGTCGGTTTGAATTCTGTATTCGTTTCATTCACCATATGTTCTATAGCAGCTCTTGTACCTTGAGATATCAATGTAACGCCATCAAGATTTTTATTCAAATCAACGTTGCACTGAATACAGCACAAGTCTTCCGTTTGCACCCCAATACTATTTCCTTTAACCTCAGTTTGTATTGTTTTATCGGCAATGTTAATGACTACTTGAGTCTCGGCGTCACAAAGTTCTGTAATACATGCTTTTTCTTTAATAACTTTGTTATCGTTTCTATGCAACAATTTTAATTTTGATAGGTAGAACTGCAGATTTCGAAGGTGGTTTTCAATGGTCACATCGGTAGATTTTAAACTCGTTATACATTTTTCCAAACATTCTTCGGATAAGTATAACAAATCTTCCGTTGAACTGTGTTTATTCGTTGTATCGGCACTAGTGTAATCAATCTTTTGCGTAGGACAAGCGTACAATTTTGTGATTTCATCCAGTGAAGTGTCTTGTTTCACATCTTTTCCGTTCTTGGGAGTACGATCATCTCGTAGATTTGGTTGTGTAGGCTCGATCTCACAAATATCTTCAATTACTACGACTTCATTTTCTTGTTTACGGTTCGAATTGTCATGAGATATTTTTTGTGTAGGCATATTAAACAGCACATCTCTTCTACTCTCAGCTGTACGATTGTTTTGTACATTTGAAGCCATAATCTCGATCTCGGGAACGTCGTCGATTACTATGACTTCATTTTCTTGTTTTGACTTTGAATTATCATCGTGAGGCATTTTTTGTGGAGGTACATTAAACAACACATCTAGTAAAACACAACTATCTTCAGACTTTGTAGTTTTTTTCTCTACATTTTCAGAAGTTGGTTTCTTCGTTAAGTTCTCAGAATTGTGCGCATGGGCCTTTATTTTTTTCTGCTGAAAGGCATGTATCAAAGTATCATTATCTCCAGATGTGTTTTTATCGATAAGTTCAATATTTTTTGATATGTAGTCTTCTAGTTGTTCTAAATCATAAGAGTGTTTCGGGTTTTTATTTGCTTCAGGAATGTTTTCTTCTAGGCGCTATAAACAACAAATAAAAATTATAAGATCACTCCTCATGGTAAAAAATAACATTCAGTGATAATTCTTGTTGACAAAAAGATACTGAGACTGTTTCTAAAGATTTAAAAAAAGGAGTAAAGAAAAGGAAGTAATTGTAGTAATCAATTTTTGATCATTTTCGACTGTAAGATTTAAAAATTTTGATGAAAATTCATTGTTTTGGGGTCAACTTGCTATAAATCTAATAGAGTTAATAAAGATTTTTGAAGGAGATAATAATTGAAAACACATTTTTTAACTGTTTTCGAATAACTGCTACTTGAAGTCGATTATAAATATTCCCATTTAACGCCCCACTTAAAAATTTAAAATAGAATCACAACACTGACAAAGTAAAAAAGGGTTTTTTGGAGAATGTTTTCGAAATATAGAAATAAACACAGTTTTCTTTTTGAGACTTTCCGTTAATTTGGTTAGAATTTTTGGAAGTTATTTTACAACTGAGAAAACATTTCAAAAGACAAATTTACTAGTCGAAATCCATTGGGAAATATTTTGTAATATCTATTATTCGACCGCGCAACTTTAAGAAATAAAAAATCAAATGTAGTTTAAAAGTCCATTTGTTGATGTGACAATACTAGAAATAATAAAATTCAAACCTATTTAAGAATACTTCAATATTATGTTTTATTTTTTTGAGGCAAGATTTACTCGAAACTTTTAACAGTTTTTGTCACCTGTAAGTAGACTACTTGACTGCCACTACAGGGGTCTGTGCAATTGGACACCTACAAGTCAAACAAATATGGTCAAAAACAGGGGGATCGGAAAGGAAATAATTTTTATTCATGCTTTGCGCAGTGCTCCTACATTTTGTTAACACATATTTCCTAAATCTTTGCCACTTTTTCATCAAATAAAGTTTTAGTAGTGACGCACAGTGGTCAAAAATCCTTAAAACCCGAACGAAACCTAAAAATTTCACTTTTTTACACACGGTAGATACCTCTAATACTGAACTAATTTTTGGCATTGTTTTTGTTTGTTTATTATTATCTTTTATTACAATGGCCGATGAACCAATAACACGCCTGAAATTACATCAAATAATGATGGAATTTTCATGTGAATCAGTCGAAGTCGAATCATTTCCACACAAATTTTGATGAAAATACGACGAAAACCCTTGCCACATATACAGGAAAAGCATTCTTTGCGCCTTATTTTGCAAGATGAAGAAAAATAAGTTAAAAAAAAACGAACATTTCTTAAGAAAATTCGAAAATTGGCTGAATGAAGAAATATATTTCCCGAAGATTGTTGTTCGCTGCCTGCAGAATTCTCGTAACGCGTCTACATCAGAAAGGGGTAGTCGTCCTTCTAAGGATTTCGAAGATTGTTCTGTCGTTATTAAACGTAGAAAACCACAGAAGATTCGTGAACAAACAAAAAATTATCATTTGCTACCTCCATGAAACTTAAGAGAAAGTGGAAATGTAGATGCAGCCAAATTGCTCAGTGAAGCAACGGAAATGTCCCCAAAAAGAGCAGGAAGAATTTAAAAAACAAGAGGTTTCCAGTTACTCTGCTGAAGAAGCAGTGGCTTTGTCTCATTAAATTTAACTCGAGATCAGTATGAGCAATTAAGAAAAGAGGCCAATGAACATGGACATGATCTTTACTCTCCATATTATAAAGTGGTAGAGTCTAAGAAACAATTTTATCCTGAGAATATTTTAATAACGGAAGAAAAATGTGAGTATATCGCTGAGAAAATGTTACCTTTGTAATTAAGTCAGACGCAAAGAAGAAAGATAAAGACGACGAATTCGTAGATGAACAGGAAAGTAATTTAGAGGAAGAGTTTGAAGGTGAAGAATACGAAACTGATGAAAGTGAACAAAACAAGGAAAAACAGGAGGAACAGGACGAGGAAGAAGATAAAAATTGAAAAATATTATTTTATACTGCGATATAGAATATAATGTAATTATGATAAATAACTAAAATATAAACAAATATAGCTAAGTATAAAAATTAGGGTCTTGAGTATTGTCCAAAATTTTTACTCACTGTAATGTGTTTTTTATAGTCATTATGAGAGCTATAATATATAACTGTCTTGTTAAGATCAAAATAGAATACATTACATTCCATTTCAACAGTCGTTCCAATTTTATGAATGTCAATCCCCTAAACGGAATTGAAATCTTGAATATAGTTTAATATTATTACCTCCAGTGGATTCTAGGGTATAAAAAACCCTGGAATCTAAAATTTCCCTGCAATAGGACGATTAAGTACTCTAAGAGCTATAGGTTTAGATTGAGAATTTATAGTTTTTGACCACTGTGTGACAGTGGTTTAAATTTTTGCTTAGTAATTTCAATATAATTTATAACATTTATAAATGGAAAATTTTACATGCACACACTTACATTTTTGGCATGAGTATCTTCTGGAGGTCGGCTTTTATTTTCAATTAGTGCTTCCTTGTTTCCAATAACACTTTGTATCGAATCATCATTACGCTTCTGCAATTTAATATTTTTTGTCGTATTGGTAAAGTCATCTCGTATTAAATTTACTGTTAATAATTTCTTACTTACATCAACGTCAATTGTTTTATGACCGTTGGATTCTTTATCAGTCGAGTGTTCGTTTTTACTTTCAATACCGACCACATTATTTCTGGTAGTATTTTGCTTCGAGTCACTGTTTGGTTTCTGCAAAATATTTTTTATTCCCTTACTAAAATCTGCTTGGGTTAAGGCAACCTTTAAAATTCTTTTACTTACATCAGTATTAGTTGCTTTAATGATGGTCTCCTTATTAGAAATTTGAGGTGTGTTTTCATTTTTAAGTTCCTGGGTAGACTGCAAGGTAATATTTAGTTGTTTTGGTATCCTTTCGTTTTTCTTTATAGTTTTTTCTATTTCTGTTAAACGTTCCCATCCTGTAGAAACAGGAGTTGGACTTAAAGGTTTAGTCTTCTTCCTTGATGAATTATACCTTTTACTTTTAATATCAAAATCACTGTATTTAGTCTCTTGTAACTCATTGTCCAATGCTTTTAAAAACTCGTCTTCTATTAAATCTTGAATTACTTTTTCTTCCGCTTTTTTAACAACTTCTTCCTCTTCTGTATTGTCTTCGATGTTATAATTTTCTAAACTAGTAGACCTTGTTTGCAAATTCAGTTTTTTCTGTGTAGGTATTACTTTCTTTACTTCGATATCTAATGATTTTGCCCGTCCTCTCCGAAGTTTGGGTCTCATAGATTTACATTCATCTTTCGCTCCTTTTACTTGGGATACCGACACTAAGTCAATAACAGGAACTTCAGAAATGCCAGTAATATTTTGAGTCTGACTCAACCTGTCAAATTGATTTCTTGTATCATTTAACCACTTTAACACAGCAGTTTTATTTTCACAATTATCAAATTCTAAAATATTATATTCAGCTTTATCTTTCTTGTACTTCTTTTTGTTTATATAAACACGCTTAGTACCCTTTCTATTAAAAGTATTAGTGGGCTGGTTACTCATTAATGTATCAAAAGCATTCATACAATTTTCTTTCACAGATTCATCTTGTGTCTTCTTTTTATTAGCTTTTTTTATACCATATTTTTCTTTTGAACGGTTCTTCTGCTTTATTGTTTGATTAATACCTTTTGAAGTTGATGGAATGGCCAGCGAATTATTGTTGCTTATAACATTCTGTTGTAGAACGTCTTTATTCTGGGGTATTTCTATCTCCTCTCTCAGTTGTTTCCGAAGTTGTTCAACTAAAAGATATGCATCAATGTCTTTACTGCAAAGTTAATAGAATGTGTAGTTACCTTCACATTTATAAATACTTTTTATATTTTCGCAGCAGTTATAAACAAATTTTCCAAGAGTGCTCGCATAATTATCGCTGTATATTATTGACCTCCTCTTATAAATCCTTTTACATAGAGGGCAAGAAGCTTGCTTCTGGGCAGATTTCTGTTCAAGGTAACATTCTTTGCAATACTTATGGCCACAGTTCAACTCAACAACTTCCCGCATTACATCTAAACTGAAAGATATTAAAGATAGAGGAAGTAAAGTAATAAGATGATAAACTTACCAGATTGGACATTTTAGCTTTACTTTCAAACTTATGATTGTTTCTACAAGTTTCATTAACTTAATTTTATTCATGTTTCCAGTTTCAACCTAGATTTCTAGACTTTCAAACAAATCTAAACAAGTTTGGCGGTAAATAATAAACTTTTTGACTTTGACACGTCTTTGACATTTCCCAATTTGACAAGTGACACCACAGCTGCTTCTTCTCAAGAGACCTCTCGTTCCGATTTGGCAAATATGTAGCTAGCTAATAGCAACTTAGTTACTCTGAACTGAACTGATATTAGTTGCTATAGCACATACTAATAGGTTCTATCGTAAGAGTAACTAAATATCTTATGGGTACTATTTTTATAAAAACGAAAGCCCCCAAGGACACTTGTGATGAACTTATATATATATATATACAAGTATACATACTTTCATAGTATATGATCATAAATTCATGAACATTAATGAACTGAACTGAACCAAATTAAACTGTGATCAAATTGGATTGGATTACGAGTTTTTAAATTCATGGATAGAAAATGCACATTTATAAAATTATTTGATATTTCTCTTTGCTGTATTTGGAATTAGAAAAAGACACGACACATTTGATAATTGTATTCCATTATTTCCATTGCATTATTTGCATTGTTACAAAAAATTGCATTGACCTGGCATTGACCTTCAAGTTTTATTTTTACCGGCCGGTAATTCTTTCGTCAGCGTAACGTCACAAGACAAGTCACCAGTCTCAAATGCAAGTGATAATTTTAAGTTTTCAGAAGCATTTTAACAAAAACAACTGTTTCATAATCCTCGAGGTCGAATAGGTCAACTGTAACTAGAATTTTTTTTTTATCGCGATCACGACAAAACCACTTCAATATGTCCTTAAAACAAACTGTAACTCTTCTACAAGCTAGAAATGGAATTAATTCTGTTAAACAGAGGGCTAGGTAAGAAATATATATTTTTTATTTTAAACTAAGTTTTTTAGATCTTAATTCAAGTTTTTTATTTTAATTTTATCATACATTTAATTGCAGCTCTTGGTGGTCTGGTGTACAAATGGGCCCCCCGGATGTCATTCTGGGAGTAACAGAGGCATTCAAACGTGATACGAATCCCAATAAAATTAATCTAGGTGTCGGTGCCTACCGTGACGACAATGGTAAACCGTACATCCTTCCTTCTGTTCGTAAAGCCGAGGAGCAAATGAGGGCAAAAAATTTAGACAAGGAGTATGCCCCGATCTCTGGTTTATCCGATTTTTGTAAAAGGAGCATAGAACTAGCTCTTGGAGAGGGAGCAGATGTTGTTGCAAATGGTTTGAATGCGACCATCCAAGGTATTTCTGGTACCGGTTCTCTGAGAGTCGGTGCCGCATTTTTGAGTGGTTTCTTCCCTGGCAATAAGGTGGTGTATATTCCCAGTCCCTCCTGGGGTAACCACACTCCAATATTCAAGCATAGTGGGTTAGACGTTAAGACTTACAAGTACTACGATCCCAAGACTTGCGGACTGGACTTCGCTGGGGCTGTGGATGATATTTCGGTAAGTTTTTTTTTTATGTGAAAAATATAAAATAAATGTCGCATTGTTTGAAACAGGGAAATTGATTTTTAAACATTTATAGACCACCGCAAAAAAGATTTTAAAAATTTAAAATAAAATTTTAATTTAAATTTTAATTAAAAACGATAGAAATTACCAAGTAGTATTACAAATTCGAAAATTATAATCTAAAGTTTTAATAATTGAAGACATTGAGAATCACTTGTATGTAATACTTATTTTATGAATGGCATCAAAACTAAGAACTTTTGCAACACGTAATTTTTTATCCAAGTACATAGTTCTTTCAGTAAGCAATGCTGGTGTTAATTACATACTTTGTTTTTATTAACTATGATAAGATTAGCAAACACGTGATTTAAGTAAATTAAAAATTAAATTTAGTGATTAAATTCAACAATCTTCCAATCTTCCTTAATAAATAGATAATGTTTATCTAACATATTTCTCGTTTATTATTAAGTAACTTCTAATTTAATTTTATCTAGTGATGAAATATATTGTTAACATGTGTAATAATAAAAAAGTATTGTTTATGTTTGGATTTTTATGAATATCAAATATTTTACAGCTACTGATGACTGATAATGAGATATGGCTACTACGGCACAAAATAGAACTTTTGTAATTGTTGTGAAATTTTAATTTATTTATGTCGTAAATTTAAATTAATAATTAAGTAAATAGATACAGCAAGTTAAAATAATTAAATGTAAAGTTAATTTTTATTTAAACATAATTAAAATGCTAAAAGTATACAGATTTTTACAAATTCGCTTCTCACTATAGGGATATCGAAAACGATAAGATATAGAAACTAGCTTAAATGGGGGCAAAGTTGCGCAATCAGGGGACCGACATTATGCCTCTAAAAAATCAAGGCTAACAAGATTAGTTTTCGAAATATTTGAAAAATACTGAAATTTTGGAAATCCGTTTTTGTTTCATTTCAGCCTTGTTTGAGGTGATTTTGAAAAAAGAAGAACACTTTCTCATGGCAACTCTTTGCCCTCTATCGAATGTCATAATCAATTTTTATATGTAACGTTTCATCTCTCCAGGACCATCATCAACTTTATTTTTTTATTTTATTACATTTTTTGCAAGCCTTCATGACCCCCAATACTGTACTGCCTCAGCCCAAACCAGATTCAAACGTTTTGTCTCGAAAAATTCATCTTCAGTGTATTCGTTCCAAATTTATCTAAATTTTTTATTTACATTTTTTTGTTTATTGAATTATCGTACACTGTAAGTGTCGTTAGACCCTGTGAAATTCATTTACTCAAATGAAGTTGATGATGGTCCTGGAGAGAAGAAACGTTACATGTAAAAATTGACGGATTTCCAAAATTTCAGTTTTTCTCAAATATTTTGAAAACTAATCATGTTAGCCTTGATTTTTTAGAGGCATAATGTTGATCCCCTGATTACACAATTTTGCCCCTATTTAAGCTACTTCGTACCTCTTACCGTTTCCGAGTAATTCCGACTATTTTTATGTAATTATAAAATTTTTAAGTGAATTACTAGTTTGTTGCATAAAGCAATTTTTACATTTACTAGAAAAAATGGAACAAAGAAACATTTACGCTTCGAAGTATTCACCCTTTTTTATGTAGCATGTAAGTCGGAGACGATTCCAGAGCTTCTCAATAAGTTTCATCAATTTTGAATATTAATTTTAAATATATTACGTTTTTAATCATTGAAAATGCTTATTAATGCATACTGTTTACCATTAAAAAATATTCTCCAACTTTGGAAACACATTTGTGGCACCTTGTTAGATGTTACAATATGTTGTCTGTTTTTTTGGTAAAATTTAATGGTACCAACACAGCAAACCACAAATCATGATAGACTCCACAATTTGTGTATTACGAGTATATCGTCCGTCTTATCACATTGGGGCGTATAATCCAAGAAATGGATATCCACATACGCCTCTACGTGATAATAGGGACGATATATACCAATATAACTTGAATTTCTTCATCACCTATTTTAAAACTGTTAAATATTTGTTTTTACTCTAGAAAATCCCTGAAAAATCTATCGTCCTTTTCCATGCTTGCGCCCATAACCCCACTGGTGTCGACCCCACCAAAGAGCAATGGGCAGAGCTATCTCAGCTCGTCAAGAATAAGAACCTATTCCCGTACTTCGATATGGCATATCAAGGTTTTGCCACTGGCAGCATAGAAAACGATGCTTATGCTGTGAGTACAACAAAATCGCTTGAAACTAAGGTCGAAGAACTTTTTTCTAAATTTAGGTTCGTCTATTTATCAAAGAGGGACATCGCGTAGCTTTAGCCCAGAGCTACGCTAAAAACATGGGTTTGTACGGAGAACGAGCGGGTGCGTTTAGTATCGTAGGCTCCTCCAAAGATGAAGCCGATAGGGTCATGTCCCAAATAAAAATTCTCATCAGAGCGTTATACTCTAACCCTCCAATCAACGGAGCTAGGATTGTCAGTGAGATTCTAGGTGATGCCAACCTTAAAAAGCAATGGTCAGTAGGTTTTTTCTTCGAGAAATAAGGCGGCTCTATCGTTTTTGTTTACAGGTTGCAAGAGGTTAAGGGAATGGCTGACAGGATCATTTCTGTCCGTCAAAATCTTCGTGATAATTTGAAGAAGGAGGGCTCGACTCGCAACTGGGAACATATCACAAATCAAATTGGGATGTTCTGCTTTACCGGATTGACAGCGCCTCAGGTAAATGTAGAAAAAATAAGGTACTAGTAATCGTTGGTTAACTGGTATTCGTCAGTTTTAACATAACTTCTTTGATATCAAGAATTCTCTGACCTCTGGCAATAATTAAACAAATAAATATCAATCATTCCTATATTATAATGTATGAAACTAATTTTGCATTTAACGTGGGTATAAGTACTAATATCCGGTGAACAGTTTGTCTATGTCACCAATCGGCTATAAAACGGCAACCTGAGTTAAAAAGCCAAATCGAGGTAAACTTCTTTGTTTTTCTGACTTACTAATTACAAAGTTTCCTGAACTAGGCCGTTTACAGATTGTTAGTGTATATATTGTCAAAAAGTTGGTTTTCTTTTCGGGACCTCCACTACTGTTATCTGGACGGTGGCTTTTTATGTGATATCACAGTTCACACATAGAAAGGTCGTCACAAATCTATCAAAGATACTATCTCTTCTGTCTGTCTGTCTGGCTTATTCCTCTATTTGTGGTTCATTATTTGAGTATATTTTTGTCAAAGATGTCGCAGACAATATAGCTTCGCCCCAGACCGCTACTGGAATAGGACAGCAGTTTTAAATTTCTGAATTTCCGATACAGTACACCAGCAGCAGAATTTTAGGAATGCAGCGGCCCGCATACCTACTCGTATCCTAGCAACATATAAACAATAGTTTGGCAAGGTTGTCACGCATTCTTACGGATTTATTTTGTACACTTTTTTTATCAATGTCCGTTTTTTGCGTTACTGTAGTATTTAAATGTATGATGTAGGTATTGGTATAGGTATAAAAATGTTTTAAAGAATCAACGAATATCTATGTAGTTTCAGATGATATTCTGCAGCGTTGTTTAATCATAATTTCATTAATACTACTATTTTCATTTTTTGGTATTGAAATACTGCAGAAAATATATTTCCAAATAAACAAAATTCACAATGATATTTTAAACAGCTTGTAATATAATTTTTTTAATATTTGATGAAAAATGTATTTAATATACAAGGGTTATTAGTACGTCGTGGAATGTAGGTACAGGATTTTTGTTTGTATTTTGACACCCACTTATACTTAGATTTAATACTAATTAAAGATAGAAAAGAATTTTAAATACAAATGTACGACTTTTCATTTATTTCTTTTGACATTATCAAAATTTGCTTATTTAAATAACATTAAAATACCTACTAATTTTTTCCAATTTTCCAAATGCAAGCAATTATGATGATACCGTTGAAAGCATGCTTTAATTTATTGCGTTAAAAACAAATATAATATTATCAAACATTTCGTCCTGTATTTTTTGTAATACTTGGAAATTTTGAGGTCTTGAATAATATATTTTGTTGAAGTGTCCCGACAAAAATATGTCTAAGGGACTGAGATCGGAGCTGTTTTCTATCCACCTAAGGTTTCTAATAATATTTTTTTTGTGTTTGTTGACGAGATTCTTCCTCCAAAATAAATTTGCTGATATTCCTGAAGAACTTTCACACATTATTGTTATTTGAATAATACACTTTATGTTTTATTTTTCATTATCAGAATACCCATTTTAATTAATGTCGGTTTTGTCTGAGTGTGTGCGAGAGAGATAGTGATAGTGTGCGATAGAGATTTTGTCATCATAGAGGGTCTCTCTCTCTCTCTGCTGTCTTCTGGAGTTTCCTCAGCATCTTTAGGACACCTAGGGAGGGAACATGGGGTAGAGCGCGTGGCTTTTTTAGCTTTCGTCATTGAGCTATGACGTCACCACGTATGAAAAAAAAAAAACATTTTAGCTTGTACCTCAGAAATGACTCGAAATATCAAAAAATCTCTGGTTCTAATTGATGATTGAGTGAAAAACCTCGAAGTCCGCATGTCAAAAAAAAAAAAAAAATAGGGACCAACGGTGTGTGCATCATAGAATAAAAAAATGATTATAACTCAGAAATGGTGGGTTATATCGAAAAAAATATTTAAAAAAATCTCCAAAGACTCCTGGTTCTGTATATCCCTCCTGCGTTGAATGCAAAAGATCCGAAGTCCGTATGTCGGAAATAAATTTCAGATACAGTAAAAAATGTCTTATAACTCTGAAACGGTGTGATGAATCGAAAAAATAATTAAAAAAATCTCCCCATCACTGCCGGTTCCGATTGTCCGTTCTGCATCTAAATAAATTTTGGAAACAAGAGGTGTGTGACATCATATAGTAAAAAAGCCTTATAACTGGGAAACAGTGCGTTGAATCGAAAAACTAATTTAAAAAATCTCCCTGCACCTCTGATTCTGATTGTCCGTTCTGCGTTGAATGGAAAAAATCCGAAGCCTGCTTGTCGAAAAACCTAAAAAGTTTGTCAAAATTGCAACAGCAGTAGCTAGCGCATTTGTCTTATCTCATTGATTGATGATTTATTGTTTTTTTTTTAAATAAATTTCGTATTCAACCACCCCTAGAGGTTCCAACAATTTTATTAAATAAAAAATTAAGGTACTATTCTTAAGGAAATTATACATTTTTTAATTTTTTTGAAATAAATAGAGAAATTTCCAAATAAAAGATAATTAATTCCATATAACTCTTCGATTACATAATTAAATACATTAAATTTATTTGGCAGTTATTATTTGGCAACAAAGCCACCGCTAGAATCCTATTACCAAGTAGAACCACGCTAAATTTTATTGCTGGATGCTGGCTAACAAGACGTTGCATCCTTTTTAGGTTGCCAATTTGCAGCATTTAGTATGCGGTCTGAAGCAATAAGCGATATTGTCTGCAAAGATGTGAATGTTAGAAACAACAAAAGATATCATTTCTTTGTTTTGAAATTAATATAAAAAAGTAGGTCCACACAAAGGAGACCGCTGTACTGTCAAAGGAAGAACAAAGGAGGAAAAGATAGATAAATAGAAGATAAATTTTATTGCTGGATGCTGGCTAACAAGACGTTGCATCCTTTTTAGGTTGCCAATTTGCAGCATTTAGCATGCGGTCTGAAGCAATAAGCGATATTGTCTGCAAAGATGTGAATGTTAGAAACAACAAAAGATATCATTTCTTTGTTTTAAAATTAATATAAAAAAAGTAGGTCCACACAAAGAAGACAGCTGTACTGTCAAAGGAAGAACAAAGAAGGAAAATATAGCAGATAAATAGAAAATAAATTTTATTGCTGAAGCAATAAGGGATATTGTCTGCAAAGATGTGAAATGTTAGAAACAACAAAAGATATCTTTGCTTTGTTTTGAAATTAATATAAAAAAAGTAGGTCCACACAAAAGAGACCGCTGTACTGTCAAAGGAAGAACAAAGAAGGAAAAGTAAGCAACAAAAAAAAACAATTTCCAAAGAAAACCAAAAACAAAATAATAGAGGTAGATAAAACCGGTCATGCGAAATGCGAAATAAGATATTTTCTTTATGTGGTGGATATACAAGTTTCTAAGGCTACAAAGATGTTTTATTCTTCTTTTATTGACTAAATTGGTTTTAATTTATTGTTTTAATTATCTACTCCGATTTCTTTAGTTGTGATGATTATTCATACAAATAAGGAATGATCTCATAATATTATTACCTCATTGGAAATTATAAAATTGTAAAATACATATACAAGTAAATAATTCAATGGGGAGGTCGAAGTAGGCAATCATAAAAATTTGTATCTAGCCAGACGTGATACATTTCTTAACTGACGATTATTATACATCTACCTCATATAGAATCGAGAAAGCCCGATTTATGGAAATCATAAAACAATCACACACATTTTTATTTTGAATTTTTGACGTAATTCTCATTTTAGGTGGAAAAAATAACGAAAGACTTCAGCGTGTACCTAACGAAAGATGGCCGTATCTCCATGGCTGGAGTAACATCGAAAAACGTAGGCTACCTCGCAAATGCCATCCATGCAGTAACAAAATGAATTAATTTATAGGTTTTACCTCGTTTTAAAAGTATTTTTGTTCAGGCTTTGCATTTTAAATGATATTAAGAAATATACACCTATTTGTTTTATGTAAGATTGCATTTTACGAAACGTTGATTTATACACCTTTGTTTTTGTTTATTTTATATTAATTTGCTCTAAGCATTTATATTTGTTTTGTTTAAATTTTGCGGTATACGTTATACCTGCATGTATTTTTTTAATTCAATTGAATATTATCAAAGTCTAACTAGATTATTGCTTTTTTTCCTCCATACCCTAGACGTCATTTTGACATTTCAAATCTAAAAAAAAAATTAAAATTCCGTACTATTGGGAACAGGTGCAGATATAGATATGGATTTTAGGGGGGGTATTTGCACAGTTGCCGCCTAAATAAAAATATCGTTTGGGGGGGGATCACTCCATCGCCCCTCCTTTGGATCTGCGCCTGATTGGGAATACACTAATTATAACATTGGCTTGTTCATAGTTTTTACGAGGTGACATCGCTTAAGAGCGAGACTGAAGATATCACCTTGATGGTCAATAATTCAAATTTTTTTACATTATCAACCAACCGTCAATTTCTGGCGTTTTGTTTTATTTCAGCGTGAAGTTTTTAACTAAACAATTCGAGGAGAAATATTTTAAAATTTTATTATGAAAATGGTAAGTATTTTTTTTTTTTGTGAACGTTGTTCTTGATATCGCACATACTGCAATAGGTTTCCATAAGGTAGGTAACTTATATTATACTGTTTTTTTTATTAATAATTTTTTGACTTCAAAATGTGAAATCAAAGACCCAAAAATCTACTGTGATCGAAGACAGTGCCGGCTCTTGATTTCCATACCAGGGAGGCGGAAAAATTTAGGTACCTACCTACAAAGCATTGAAAAAAAATCAACTATAATTGGATAGTTTTATTTTAAGTACTATTGAAATATAGAGAAAATGTACCTACTCAACATTTTTTTGTAGTGAAAGTCCATTCTTCTGCTTTTGTCTCAAATAAACTTTTCAATTACTTTTTCATTAAAGTTTGGTATTTATCGCACCATTGTTTTATACTTCTACAATTTTTAAAAAAACATACAAGAAATGATATGTAAAACAATTTTACATCACCTTAATAAATTTATTATTTATTATGAAAAAAAAGCGGTGAATAGTATTATTTTGTTACGGTCTGACTAAACAGAGCTCACACAGTAAATATGCGCTACTCCCACTCTGCCTTTCACTGTTACGGAATGGTAACTATGACCACCGCCATAAACATTTTACAAATGTTGAATGAACGCCCGCTATTTTATTATTGTTGAAATGTGCAGGGGAAGGCAGTAGAAAAGGTGTCTCATCTCGTGAGTCAACTTTTTTCATAAGCAGCATTGTTTTTTTTTTAAACAATTTAGGTCCAAAATCAGTTTTTCCAATATATAAGTACTGGAAAAACTATTGATTTTAGGGAAAAGTGTTCAACAGACGAAATATGCGCAATAATAAAAATATACCGCCTGATATATTAAAATCGGAAAAATTGTTTAAAAGTTACTGCAAAAAAAAAACATCAAAAATTGTAGAAAAACAGCATTTTTTTAATTATCCATAACTTGGTTGTTATTTGTTAGAATTTTATAAACATGCCTAAAAGTTGTGAGTTTTTTTGTTATTCAAATCTGTACGAAAGATGGGCACTGTGGGCCTAATAGTTTTTGTAAAATTTCGTTTATAAAAAAAGTGATAAAAAAAGACTATTTTTAATGTAAAAATCAAAAGGGCCCCTGGCAATATAAATCAAAATCCATTTAAATACAAATAGAAGTTAGGTTTTAAGCTTTAAAAATCGACTTTCTAAACCTTTTTTTGTTAATAACTTTCAGAGAGACAGATGGTTAAAGTTATGCATTTTTTAAATATAATTTTGCAAAAACCATTGGGTCCACAGCACCCATCTTTCGCACAGTTTTGAGTATTCTTAAAACTCACAACTTTTAGGTATATACAGGTTCGAAAAGTCCCTATGGTACATCGGCCGTTACGTGAGAGCGATAAAGTAAGTCATAGAAATCGTGCGATAGAGAAGGAAGGCTATAATGAAGGCGTCTCATAGTCTCCGCCCGTTTCGCCCTTCCACAAATAAGATCAACTTCCACTTGTAATTCAGCGACCGGTGGTCATCTTTGTTTTCGTCGTTTGCCTTTTCTTTAATAGATGTCGCTACTTATACAATTCCGACTCCGGTATTCCGATATGTTAATACAATCCGTTAACAGGGGGCAGCACAACGCGTAACAAAGAAAACTTTTTACAGTAGCTAGTAGATACCTCTGTTTGTAAATCTAGTGACCTTGTTTCCCCTACTGAGAAGTTATTCAAATGGAGTATAGTGCTCAGCTGCATTTAAAGTTCATT